TCTCTGGTATCTCTCTGGTTCTCTCTGGTCTCTCTCTATGGTCTCTCTTGGTTCTCACTCTGTCTCTCTCTCTGGTTCTCTCTCAGGGTCTCTCTCTGGTCTCTCGCTGGTCTCTCTCCGGTCTCTCTCTCTGGTCTCTGCTCTCTGGTGTCTCTCTGGTGTCTTCTGGTTCTCTCTCTCTGGTCTCTCTGGTCTCTCTCTGGTCTCTCTCTGGTCTCTCTGGGCTCTCTCTCTGATGTACTCTCTGGTTGTTCTCTGGTCGCTCTCTTGGCATCTCTCTGGTCTCTCTCGGTCTCTCTGGCTCTCTCTCTGTCTCTTCTGGTCTCTCTTGGTCTCTCTCTGGTCTCTCTCTGGCCTCTCCTCTTGGCCTCTCTCCGGTCTCTCTCTGGTCTCTCTCTGGTCTCTCTCTCTGGTCTCACTCTCTGGTCTCTCTCTGGTCTCTCTCTGCGTCTCTCCTTCTGGCCTCTCTCTATGGCCTCTCTCTGGCCTCTCTCTGGCCTCTCTTGGTCTCTTCTCTGGTCTCTCTCTGGTCTCTCTTGGTCTCTCTCTCTGGTCTCTCTTCTGGTCTCTAGGGTCTCTCTCTGTCTAAACAGTGAAAATAGTAATTCTCACCTAAACACATCTTAACATAAAAAACATCAAATATCAGGATATCGTTTAAATGAGTTCAGTTCGAATCTAATCTTAACATTTCAGTTTTATTTTGTATAAAATTGTATGAAATAAACTTTTAGCCACAGGCCCCCCCCCCCCCCCCCCCCCCCCCCCCCCCCCCCCCCCCCCCCCCGCCGGAGATACAAAGCACTGATGCCGTGTTTTATACATTTTTACTTTAACTTTCAAAGGCTTTTACATAATCTCACCTTTTCCCGCGTTGGCCCGGTTCAAACCTCTGCATTGCTGTTATATTTGTATATGCTTGTTTTTAGACGACTGAATGGAAGATCTCCACCGTTTCCATGGTTACCACTTTGTATATACGTCATTTAAACAAGTCTCTCCTCCCTCTCTACGCTGCAGATGAAACGGGAAATCTGTCTGGGAGTTTTGGAGATATATTTTTTACTCCATTTTCTGGCTGATAACCAGGAAAGCTTGTTCTCATGTTGGGTTTGTGCGACAGGATTCCTTGGGTTGTGTCTTCTTCTAGGATCTGGGTTTCTTTTAAAGTCATTAGATGACGGTTCTCTTGTACGGCTCGCCTGTTACGAATGTGTCCACAAGTCGTATTCTTCAACTTGCATAAAAGTCATTTTTAAATAATATTGGGTTGTTTTTGTGGTTTGTGCTGATGACAAGGGGCGGGGTTTAGTATGATGTCCACAGATCGGAGAGATTGACCCGGAGCGTTCTGTGAGGGCCAGAGCAGAACATGAGTGAAAATGATGAGAAAAATAGTCTAAAACTGCTGAAATTAGGCAAAATCATGTGTCTTATTTGGGATTAGATCGATGTAAGAGTTTTAAGACTTTTTAAGTGTATATGTTGCGGCCCTGCAGTACGGAGGCGTGTCGAGTTGTGGGGTGTCGGGTAGTGACGTCATACGCGACACCGCCCATCCGCGTGATGTGCATGGATCTATTATAATACGGGTATGCAGTAGTAGTGAGTAATATCTATGCCCAATGAATTTAAGCGGCATTAAGTATTTATGGCGCTGTCATTGTCAATATTCTGTAGTGGGGGAAAATGGACGACATTTTGTCAATATTCAAGTAGTAATTTGGCTACAAAAGATGCCATTACCTTCAGACTATTCATTCAATAGGGATTTGAAGCAGCTCAGGACAAAAGTTAATGAGTTCAACTAATGCCAGTGCTTATGTATAATGTGTACATTCATTTATTAAAGGGCCTATGGTTGGTGGCTCAAATCCTGGCAGCCCCAAGTGCAGTCTGGTTTGTTCTTGAGCAATGCACTTCACCCACATGTGTGGACATAGTGAGAGAACGGCTTGGTGGTGGCCAAATAGCGACCAGGACTGAGGCTGTAGACCCAGGACTGAGGCTGTAGACCCAGGACTGAGGCTGTAGACCCAGGACTGAGACTGTTGATCCAGGACTGAGGCTGTAGACCCAGGACTGAGGCTGTAGACCCTGGACTGAGGCTGTAGACCCAGGACTGAGGCTGTAGACCCAGGACTGAGACTGTAGATCCAGGACTGAGGCTGTAGATCCAGGACTGAGGCTGTAGACCCAGGACTGAGGCTGTAGACCCAGGACTGAGGCTGTAGACCCAGGACTGAGGCTGTAGACCCAGGACTGAGGCTGTAGACCCAGGACAACCCACACACACACAACACACTCGGCCAGTCTGAGTAGAGACTTGGGAACAAAGTGTGTCCTCTATTCCCTCTATTTTGAGTCATGAAGCTGAATGCGCAGGTTCAGACTGAAAGACCGAGTGCCTGCCAGCCTCGAGCCTCAGCCAATCACACAGCTCTGCCAGCCTCGAGCCTCAGCCAATCACACAGCTCTGCCAGCCTCGAGCCTCAGCCAATCACACAGCTCTGCCAGCCTCGAGCCTCAGCCAATCACACAGCCAGGCCAGCCTCCTGCCAACCCTCTCAGAGCAAAGCGGGCAGTTTAAAAGGCAGCCACTTCCTGACAAACAACGCTTCCTGAGGCTCTTAAACACCCATGGGCATGGTTCTCTGACCGCCGCTGCTGCCGGTCCCGGCCTGTTCCCTGATGCCTGCTCCCCGTTCCTGCTGCTCCTACTGATGCCTGTTCCCGCTGCTGCCTGTTCCTGCTACCGCTCCTGCTGCTGCCTGCTCCTGCTGCCTGCTCCTGCTGCTCCTACTACTACATGTGCCGCTGCTGCTGTTCCTGCCGCTGCCGCTCCGCAGGCTCCCAGGCTGCACCTGTCTCTACGACTCGGCTCTTTCAGCCACGTATGTAACCTGGCTCACGGAGACAAGCGGCGCACGCTGGCGTGACATGGTCTGTTTGCCCGTATGAATCGCATTGTGGTTGCGTTGTACGTGCTTGTCCCGGGCCATCGTTTGTTTGGGGTCTGTTCCTGCTTTGACCCGCTCTGATCTGCTCGTCAGTGCTTATTGGCGCCGCTCCTTAAACACGTCCAGGCTCCGTGTCACTGCTGCTCAAGTCTCCTCCGTGAGACAGTTCAAACTCCAGCGTGCTTGGTGGCATGCAAAATTACATTTTGGAGTCTTCCCTAATCAGTCTCCTTCTAAGGCCCGAATTGTTCGTATTAAGGCTTAATGTATCGGTCTCCGAGGCTTAACGACGTATTGCACGTTCAGGGTGAATAGGAATCTGCAGCTTTGGCGCCTCTCTGATTTGGTTGCTCCCTAGACAAAGGCCTAATGTAATATTGCTCGCTCAGGGTGAAGAGGAATCTGCAGTTTTGACGCCTGTCTGATTTGGACGCTCCCATAAGGTGAAGAAAGTGCGTTTAGCTTCATGGCCCTGTCACGCGCATAATGGCGTATGTGAATGCATGTTGTATAGCAAAGCATGGCAAGTTTATTTGTATAGCACAATTCATACACAAGGCAATTCAAAGTGCTGAACAAAATAAGAAAGCATTAAAATCATAGATATTCACAGAACATTAAAAAGAAGGATAGAAATATATGTTTTTGACCTTGTCTTAAACATTGTCAGAGAGGAGGCCTGTCTCGCATCTTCAGGAAGATTGTTCCAGATTTTAGCAGTGTGAATCTGAAAGGCAGCCTACCCACGTTAGTTCTGACTCTGGGCACTAACAGGAGTCCAGTCCCTGTGCTCCTCAGAGTCCGGGCTGGTTCATATGGGACTAACATGTCACTACTATATGTTGGTGCGAGGCCATGGAGAGACTCGACTTGTATATGTGCATGCACATGTAGGTACGTAGTATACGTGCGTGCATATATATTATGTATATGTATATGCGTATGTGTTTTATAGTCTTAAGCTCGCTTCGCTCAGTTCTCATCAGGGCTCTCTCTGCTCTCGTCAAACTTTCCGTAGTTTAATTGTAATAATGATTAGATGCTTTGCAATGAATGATGTGAGTTACCTTCGCTGGTCGTCGGGCTATTCCGTTAAAAGACAACCTGTTCCAACTGAGGCCAAGGGCCAATCGTGGCCCTCCCTGTCATTTCATGGTGCCCTGCCTGCTAACCTGTTGTAATCTGGGTTCGTGAATACTTATTCGGTGTCGTCCATTCTACTTCAGCGCAGCCAATATAGACGTGTCGTAACCCGTTCTGAGATGTTGTTGTTCTCGGTCGGGCTCGAATCTCCGCTAATCTGTAGCTAGCGAGACGACAGGAGGTCGTCATTCAGCCAACTTCAGCTCTTTTATAGTTCGTCCTAAAGTTCGGACCAGTCCAATGCGGTTTCGCCTACGTGTCGGCCCCGGGACTAGTCTGGCGGACTGAAGCGGCCCTCGTACTGAAATGCTCGAGCCCCCTCCGCGTACAGTAAATATTGCTCATAGGGACGCGTTGCCCCAGGTCATTAGCAGCGTGTTTCATTTTATCCTGAGCAGGCTGGTGTCGATTATCAAAAGTAGTTTTATGCTTTGTTCCACCTCCGTGCGGAGTTTGCATGTTCTCCCCTCGTCTGGCCGGTTTGCTCCGGATCCTCCACGTGCTCTGGCCTTCCCTCACTGCTACCGCGTGCAATTGATCCGCCCTGCGCCTCATACGGGCGATCTCTCTCCGATTCTCCGCCCGGAGTCGGGGGGCAGCATCCACAACGGTCACATGCTCTCTGCCGCACTCTCATGGCTCTGAGTCATCGTAACGGTTGCTCGCTCTACTGCTCGTTCTCGGGTGCCGCTCTGTTCGTACTTATTCTGCTCCGTGGCCGCTCTTTGCCGTCGTTCTGAGTTTCCTAATTGCATCAAGATAGCTCTCTCCTGTCCAGAAGGAGATTCGGTCGGTTCTTGTTTAATCTCTCCCTTATGTTGCAGGGCGCTCTTGCTGCACGGCCGCGCCTTGCGAATTATTCTCGTAGCAATAGGCCCTGTCATTCCCGCGCGGGGCATGCCCTTCCTACGCGGGGCTCGTCCATCTCAAGCCGGGCAGGCGTCTGGCCGTCACACTGGCCACCCGGCACACGTGATGACCCTCATCGAAGGTTTCGTAGATGCTCCCTCAGCTTGGACATGGAGAGAGAGAGGATAGGAGGAGGAGGACCATGGTCTCTTGGTCCGTCCTGTCCTCTGTCACGTCCCAAACAGGTGCTGCTCTTCCGGCTGGGCCGCCTCATCCTCGCAGTGCACGTCATTCCTCAGGCCGTGGTTCATCCCCAGGCTCCTGCGCGCTCTGCAACCCTGTTTTCCTGTTCGCAGGTGCTGCGCTGACCTCAGCTTCAGCTGCTGCCTGCCGGAACGGCGTCTTTCATGATGGCACCGCCTCTTCCACTTACTTATTTCTTTTTCACGGACGCGGCTCAGTCCGTGGGTTTTTGGGGGTCATATCAAGGCCAGTAGTTAGCTGCACCCTGGCCCCAAGGACTTATTACCCCTATCACTATAATCCCTGCATTCAACACTCCAAAAGGAAGGTGCCGTCACACTTTCGTTATGCATTATTTTTCCCCTGTCCAGATAAACACCTGATGAAATGCACTCCTCCATGCACGGAGAGGAGATTCAGATGGGCTGCTATTTCTCTCTCTGTCAAATGACGTCATGTTTGCGCAATGCATCCAAGCCCATTTAATAAATCCGGCCGGTCTCCTGTGATCTCCCGATTCTCCAATACCGGCCGCTGGATTAGAATAGCCGCCGCACTCCAGCCTGCTGGGCCTTCCTCACTCTTCCCTACAGCAAATGGGTCAATGGTCCTCGGCTTGGTCCTGCCTCATCCTCTATCAGACTAAACACTGACACTATTCTGACTGCTCAGCGCTCCCTCTTCAATCTGAGGTAATTATCAAATACTCTGGTGGTGGCTAAGGCTCTTCTCTCACATAAGCATTCTCAACATCTGTTGCACTTCAATCCGGACATGCATATGATCACCTTGTCTTACATCATACATTCATGCTCACCGCAGCGCTCTGTGCAGAGAAGCTTCTCTGCATAACCCCCTACGGCTCACGCTATATACGCACCTCACAAAGCGGCCTGTGCGCGAGAGGCAGCTCCGCACGCCCCAAGGGCCCACGCTTCTACACGCATAGTCATTACAGAGCGTGCGGACTCGTCACCCCCGCATATTCTCTGTATCATACGCTGACACACGCATGCTCAAATATAGCAGATCTTGTATGAGAAAGCTCTCTACATTGCTGCTCCACATTCTCAACACGCAGAGCCCGCATCAGCTCTGCGATGACACGCATCTACTCTTCATTTCATGCATCCATCACGCACGCATGATCACATAGCCGCTCATTCAGTGAGCGTCTGTTCCCACAGATCCCCTGCGGCCTACGTCATACATGCACCCTCACGAAGCGGTCTGTGCGCGAGAAACCCTCCGCACGCTCCAAGGGCCAACGCTTCATACACGCATAATCATTACAGAGCGTGCGGATTTGTCACCCCCGCATATTCTCTGTATCCTATTCATGCAATTCTGCTTCCATGCAATGCAGCCTCCATGCAATGCTGCCTCCAGGCTATGCTGCCTCCAGGCTATGCTGCCTCCAGGCTATGCTGCCTCCATGCAATTCTGCCTCCATGCAATTCTGCCTCCATGCAATGCTGCCTCTATGCAATACTGCCTCCATGCAATGCTGCCTCCATGCAATGCTGCCTCCATGCAATCTATGCAATGCTGCCTCCATGCAATGCTGCCTCTATGCAATCTATGCAATGCTGCCTCCATGCAATGCTGCCTCCATGCAATCTATGCAATGCTGCCTCCATGCAATGCTGCCTCTATGCAATGCTGCCTCTATGCAATGCTGCCTCTATGCAATGCTGCCTCCATGCAATCTATGCAATGCTGCCTCCATGCAATGCTGCCTCTATGCAATGCTGCCTCTATGCAATGCTGCCTCTATGCAATGCTGCCTCCATGCAATCTATGCAATGCTGCCTCCATGCAATGCTGCCTCCATGCAATGCTGCCTCTATGCAATGCTGCCTCTATGCAATCTATGCAATGCTGCCTCCATGCAATGCTGCCTCTATGCAATCTATGCAATGCTGCCTCCATGCAATGCTGCCTCTATGCAATGCTGCCTCTATGCAATCTATGCAATGCTGCCTCTATGCAATGCTGCCTCTATGCAATCTATGCAATGCTGCCTCTATGCAATGCTGCCTCTATGCAATCTATGCAATGCTGCCTCTATGCAATCTATGCAATGCTGCCTCTATGCAATGCTGCCTCTATGCAATGCTGCCTCTATGCAATGCTGCCTCTATGTAATCTATGCAATGCTGCCTCTATGCAATCTATGCAATGCTGCCTCTATGCAATGCTGCCTCCACGCAAGGCTCCCACGCCTCCAGATAGGCAGCTTCCCACGGGAGGCCTGCGCATTCCCCGGCACACACAGCGCGGCTTCCTCTTTTGGGGGATCTGAGATCATCTTCAGCTGCAATCGATCTCATTGCTGCAAGTGTCACTGCCGGGGTCAACGCGCCAAACAAATAAATAATTTTATTGTATTAATTGTGTCTTGGTCTCTTCAGATTGAAATGAAGCTGAATGCGCAAGTTCAGACTGAAAGACCGAGTGCCTGCCAGCCTCGAGCCTCAGCCAATCACACAGCTCTGCCAGCCTCGAGCCTCAGCCAATCACACAGCTCTGCCAGCCTCGAGCCTCAGCCAATCACACAGCTCTGCCAGCCTCGAGCCTCAGCCAATCACACAGCCAGGCCAGCCTCCTGCCAACCCTCTCAGAGCAAAGCGGGCAGTTTAAAAGGCAACCACTTCCTGACAAACAACGCTTCCTGAGGCTCTGAAACACCCACCACCTCCCCAGCACCCCCTCTGGCTCTTGGCTCCCGCTCTGGCTCCCGCTCTGGCTCCCGCTCTGGCTCCCGCTCTGGCTCCCGCTCTGGCTCCCGCTCTAGGCTCCCACTCCGGCTCCTGCTCCGCCTACGCCCCATTCACACCATACTCTAGCCACCACCAGTGCTTGACCCCGGGGGATCTGAGATCATCTTCAGCTGCAATCGATCTCATTGCTGCAAGTGTCACTGCCGGGGTCAACGCGCCAAACAAATAAATAATTTTATTGTATTAATTGTGTCTTTGGTCTCTTCAGATTGAACTAAAACTATGGTGTGAAACTACCAGAACACCCAGAGCCGTCATTTTGACTGCTAACAATCAAACAAATCTTATTAAAAGTAGGAAGGAAAGTAGGTTTTTACTCTTACTTTTACAACGTGCTAAAACTGCTGCATGTACAGTAACTTCAAATACAGCAAAAACTGTTTGTCGAAAGGCTAATGCTAAAGGCTATGCTAATGGATGACAGGTAACAGTGTGTTGCTATGGTAACTTGCCACACACTTAAAAGGCTTTAACTGCCATGGAAAGAATGGGACTGAAAACTACACATAATTAGAATTTTGATTTAAATGAACAAAGCAGTCAAAATGACGGCTGTGGGAGTAAAAGGGAGAACTGCTCACGTCTCAGAAATAAAAGAGAATGACGTAGAAATAAAACCACAAACAGAAACAGTCACAAAGTTATGACTGTTTCTGTTACTTCCAAAAGTAAAACCCGTCATATTGACTGCTGTGGCGTGGAGATGCTACATTAGTGCAGGTCTTCACACGAGCATTAAACCGACGACCACTGAACCAGCGCCAGGAACGTGCTCTCGCCGCGACGCCGGAGGAAACAAGCTTTATGTGGCGTGAAGACCTGTTTGAGGCCGGTCTTCCCCGAGGATGATACAGGAAGCTTCTATAAATCCTGGGTCTACATCGTCAGTCCTGGGTCTACAGCCTCAGTCCTGGGTCTACAGCCTCAGTCCTGGGTCTACAGCCTCAGTCCTGGGTCTACAGCCTCAGTCCTGGGTCTACAGCCTCAGTCCTGGGTCTACAGCCTCAGTCCTGGGTCTACAGCCTCAGTCCTGGGTCTACAGCCTCAGTCCTGGGTCTACAGCCTCAGCCCTGGGTCTACAGCCTCAGCCCTGGGTCTACAGCCTCAGTCCTGGGTCTACAGCCTCAGCCCTGGGTCTACAGCCTCAGTCCTGGATCTACAGCCTCAGTCCTGGGTCTACAGCCTCAGTCCTGGGTCTACAGCCTCATTTTGGTCAGGGATTGAATAACTAAAATAGGTGTTTTGACTTTTTTCTGACATGAGTTTTTTGTTTTGTTTAGATTCAATCAAAACTGGACCAAATAAACCCATTGATTGAACTATTTCACTTCTAATGATGGGACAGGAGGCCCCTGGACTCTGGAGGAGGTGGTGAGGGACAGGAGGCCCCTGGACTCTGTGGAGGTGGTGAGGGACAGGAGGCCCCTGGACTCTGTGGAGGAGGTGAGGGACAGGAGGCCCCTGGACTCTGTGGAGGAGGTGAGGGTCAGGAGGCCCCTGGACTCTGTGGAGGAGGTGAGGGACAGGAGGCCCCTGGACTCTGTGGAGGTGGTGAGGGACAGGAGGCCCCTGGACTCTGTGGAGGTGGTGAGGGACAGGAGGCCCCTGGACTCTGTGGAGGTGGTGAGGGACAGGAGGCCCCTGGACTCTGGAGGAGGTGGTGAGGGACAGGAGGCCCCTGGACTCTGGAGGAGGTGGTGAGGGACAGGAGGCCCCTGGACTCTGGAGGAGGTGGTGAGGGACAGGAGGCCCCTGGACTCTGTGGAGGTGGTGAGGGACAGGAGGCCCCTGGACTCTGTGGAGGAGGTGAGGGACAGGAGGCCCCTGGACTCTGTGGAGGAGGTGAGGGTCAGGAGGCCCCTGGACTCTGTGGAGGAGGTGAGGGACAGGAGGCCCCTGGACTCTGTGGAGGTGGTGAGGGTCAGGAGGCCCCTGGACTCTGTGGAGGAGGTGAGGGACAGGAGGCCCCTGGACTCTGTGGAGGTGGTGAGGGTCAGGAGGCCCCTGGACTCTGTGGAGGAGGTGAGGGACAGGAGGCCCCTGGACTCTGTGGAGGAGGTGAGGGACAGGAGGCCCCTGGACTCTGTGGAGGAGGTGAGGGACAGGAGGCCCCTGGACTCTGTGGAGGAGGTGAGGGACAGGAGGCCCCTGGACTCTGTGGAGGAGGTGAGGGACAGGAGGCCCCTGGACTCTGTGGAGGAGGTGAGGGACAGGAGAGGACAGTGGAAGACTGAGGCACCCTCAGTGTAAGAAGGAGCAGGGCCTTAATCCCCACTGCTGTCAGACTGTACAATAAGTCACTTAAGTCACTGCATTAAGACTGAAAACCTGCACTAATATTGGCACTTTGTATTGTACATAATAAATGTCACTTCTGTCTTTTGCACAGTCTGAGTGTTTCTCTCCAGATGTGACAGGTACATTTCTCCATCAGAGATCAATAAAGAGGATCGTTTGCTGCAAAACCATTTCCCCTCGAGCGACAACACAGAACAGAGCTGTAGTACTTTAGTCAGCCAGCAGGGGGCAGCAGCGCTCAGCTCACAGTCCTCCTGCTGAAGGAACAGGGCAGGAGACCAGCACAGCACCCAGAGAGAGCTACATCTGAAACAACACCAGGAGAGAGCTACACCTGAGCCAACACCATGAGAGCTACTCCTGAGACAACACCAGGAGAGAGCTACTCCTGAGACCACACCTCCTGTTCGGCGACCCCGCTCCCATCTCTGTGTGGAGTGAGAGACAAATGCCCAAATAATAACAATTGTAAACCGCTTTGTGACTCTGGTCTGTGAAAGGCGGTATATAAATAAAGCTTACTTACTTACTTACTTACTTAGAGCTACACCTGAGCCAACACCAGGAGAGAGCTACTCCTGAGACAACACCAGGAGAGAGCTACACCTGAGCCAACACCAGGAGAGAGCTACTCCTGAGACAGCACCAGGAGAGAGCTACTCCTGAGACAGCACCAGGAGAGAGCTACTCCTGAGACAACACCAGGAGAGAGCTACTCCTGAGACAACACCAGGAGAGAGCTACTCCTGAGCCAACACCAGGAGAGAGCTACTCCTGAGACAACACCAGGAGAGAGCTACACCTGAGCCAACACCAGGAGAGAGCTACTCCTGAGACAGCACCAGGAGAGAGCTACTCCTGAGACAGCACCAGGAGAGAGCTACTCCTGAGACAACACCAGGAGAGAGCTACACCTGAGCCAACACCAGGAGAGAGCTACACCTGAGCCAACACCAGGAGAGAGCTACTCCTGATACAGCACCAGGAGAGAGCTACTCCTGAGACAGCACCAGGAGAGAGCTACTCCTGAGACAACACCAGGAGAGAGCTACACCTGAGCCAACACCAGGAGAGAGCTACACCTGAGCCAACACCAGGAGAGAGCTACTCCTGAGACAACACCAGGAGAGAGCTACTCCTGAGACAACACCAAGAGAGAGCTACACCTAAGCCAACACCAGAAGAGAGCTACTTCTGAGCCAACCCCAGGAGAGAGCTACTTTTGAGCCAACACCAGGAGAGAGCTACACCTTAGCCCACACCAGGAGAGAGCTACACCGGAGCCCACAGCAGGAGAGAGCTACACATGAGCCAACACCAGGAGAGAGCTACTTTTGAACCAACACCAGTAGAGAGCTACTTCTGAGCCAACACCATGAGAGAGCTACACCTGGTCCAACACCAGGAGAGAGCTATACCTGGCCCACACCAGGAGAGAGCTACACCTGAGTCAACACCAGGAGAGAGCTACTTTTGAGCCAACACCAGGAGAGAGCTACACCTGAGCCCACACCAGGAGAGAGCTACACCTGAGGCCACACCAGGAGAGAGCTACACCTGGTCCAATACCAGGAGAGAGAACAGTCTGTATGTATTTGGTGTGTTCTCTTCGGTTTATTGTCATTTATAAAGGCTGTAGACCCAGGACTGAGGCTGTAGACCCAGGACTGAGGCTGTAGACCCAGGACTGAGGCTGTAGACCCTGGACTGAGGCTGTAGATCCAGGACTGAGGCTGTAGATCCAGGACTGAGACTGTAGATCCAGGACTGAGGCTGTAGATCCAGGACTGAGGCTGTAGACCAAGGACTGAGGCTGTAGACCCAGGACTGAGGCTGTAGACCCTGGACTGAGGCTGTAGATCCAGGACTGAGGCTGTAGATCCAGGACTGAGACTGTAGATCCAGGACTGAGGCTGTAGATCCAGGACTGAGGCTGTAGACCAAGGACTGAGGCTGTAGACCCAGGACTGAGGCTGTAGATCCAGGACTGAGGCTGTAGACCCAGGACTGAGGCTGTAGACCCAGGACTGAGGCTGTAGACCCAGGACTGAGGCTGTAGACCCAGGACTGAGGCTGTAGATCCAGGACTGAGGCTGTAGACCAAGGACTGAGGCTGTAGATCCAGGACTGAGGCTGTAGATCCAGGACTGAGGCTGTAGATCCAGGACTGAGGCTGTAGACCCAAGACTGAGGCTGTAGATCCAGGACTGAGGCTGTAGACCCAGGACTGAGGCTGTAGATCCAGGACTGAGACTGTAGACCAAGGACTGAGGCTGTAGATCCAGGACTGAGGCTGTAGATCCAGGACTGAGGCTGTAGATCCAGGACTGAGGCTGTAGACCCAAGACTGAGGCTGTAGATCCAGGACTGAGGCTGTAGATCCAGGACCTGTCGGGTCCAACAGAACCAGACGTAGTTCTGCATTATCATCACTGGAACCAGAGATGTTCCTCAAAGATGGACCTCCTGACCTGACATGTTTGATAGAGAACCAATCTGGCAGAAGGTGCGGGGGTGATGAGAACACAGAATCAGCTCAGATTCTAGTTTCCTGATCAGTCCCACTGTTTAACTCTGTTGTTTATGTGGAGAATGTCTGGAAACTTCATCAAACACTTTCTGAAGCAACACTTTTGGATTCATTATAGCGTGATGCCTCTGAAGTCCAGCATGGACGGAGCTAAACACGACGGCAGGTCTGACTGTGTTGCTAGTGTCAGGATGTAGCGGGTGATGATTGTCCAGGTTTCACAATAATTGCACGGTTTCCGCCGTAGGAAGGTAACATCGTCTCCTCGTGTGTTTGATCTGCTAACTTTGATCATACGAATGTAGCGTTGGCCAATCCGATTTCCTCCGTCGCCATGACAGCCTGCAGGAAAACAACCGCGCAGCAATTTTCCATCCTGTTTTTCCCTCGTCAAAGTTAGCGTCGACAGCAGATGAAAGATGATATCATACTGTCACAGATTCTAACCAACAATCGCTTCAGTCATAGACCAAAGAACCCAGAGAGAGAGAGAGAGAGAGAGAGAGAGAGAGAGAGAGAGAGAGAGAGAGAGAGAGAGAGAGAGAGAGAGAGAGAGAGAGAGAGAGAGAGAGAGAGAGAGAGAGAGAGAGAGAGAGAGAGAGAGAGAGAGAGAGAGAGAGAGAGAGAGAGAGCCAATTACAGCCTTTACAAGTTTACTTTAGAGAAAAGCCTGACTGCCGCCATAAGCTCCAGAGAAACAGCTTCCACCCAAGTGTCAGAGCTTCAGAGTGTCTTCACTTGTTGGTGAATATTAAAACAGTGTCTTTACGTCAGAACGAGGTTAAACTTGTTTCTCCAGGTTTTCTGTCGTCTGGTTTTAAAAAATATCATTAGATATTTTTCAATCTTATTTCTCATCTTATTCCCACTGTTTCCATGTTTCATAGTAAGTAGTAATGTTTATTTATATTCTCTCTACAGTGAGGGCAGAAGACACTGGACCATCAAAGCCTCCGACCAAACACCATTTATCCATTCACTACATTCAGACCTATCGTACATGAAGCACCTGGTGGAAACCTACGCAGACATAGGAAGAACATGCAAACTCCACACAGAAAGGCCTGGAGGTGGAATCGAACCCAGGACCTTCTTGCTGTGAGGCACAAGCACTAACCGCAGCGTCACCGTGCCGCTCGTACATGTCAGGAACCTCCGGAACAGCTCCCTTCTGTCTGAATGAGCTGTTTTCAAACTCGTTACACTGACCATCCTCACTGTTTTCTGCCTGTTACACACCAACTCCAATTCAAGAAAGCGTGGAGTTTCTAATCTGCCGTTGGCAAATCAACAACTCTGTTATCATGTTGACGCTCCAAAAATAACATTTATTTTAGCCGAAGAAAATGGATGGATAAAGTAAAAAAGAGCCGCCGCAGCAGCACACGCCGCAGCAGCACACGCCGCAGCAGCACACGGCGCAGCAGCACACGCCGCAGCAGCCGCAGCAGCACACGGCGCAGCAGCACACGCCGCAGCAGCCGCAGCAGCACACGGCGCAGCAGCACACGCCGCAGCAGCCGCAGCAGCACACGCCGCAGCAGCACACGCCGCAGCAGCACACGCCGCAGCAGCCGCAGCAGCACACGCCGCAGCAGCCGCAGCAGCACACACCGCAGCAGCACACGCCGCAGCAGCACACGCCGCAGCAGCCGCAGCAGCACACACCGCAGCAGCACACGCCGCAGCAGCACACGCCGCAGCAGCCGCAGCAGCACACGCCGCAGCAGCACACACCGCAGCAGCACACGCCGCAGCAGCCGCAGCAGCACACACCGCAGCAGCACACACCGCAGCAGCACACGCCACAGCAGCAGCCGCAGCAGCAGCCGCAGCAGCACACACCGCAGCAGCACACACCGCAGCAGCACACACCGCAGCAGCACACGCCGCAGCAGCCGCAGCAGCCGCAGCAGCACACGCCGCAGCAGCCGTAGCTGACACACACGGACACTAATTGGCCTCATTTCTGCTGCTCTGGTCTCAGTCTTTGTCATAACAGCAGCTGAGGAAGAAGTGTGTGTGTCTGTGTGTCGCCGTGTGTGTCTGTTTGTGTATCTCTGTGTGTGTCTGTGTGAGTGTGTGTGTTTCTGTGTGTGTGTCCCTCTGTGTGTGTGTGTCCGTGTTCGTCTCTCTGTGTGTATCTCTGACAGAATGGGGATGAGGTCCTGACAGCGGCTCAGTCTGGTCTTTACTCTCATCCTGGTCCTGAGCGCTCGGCCTGAACACCAGCGCTTTCACAGAGACAGGTTTTCACCCTCTCCAGGTGGGTGGAGAGGTCCTTCCTCAAGTGGAGGAGTTCAAGTATCTCGGGGTCTTGTTCACAAGTGAGGGAAGAATGGAGCGTGAGATTGACAGGCGGATCAGTGCAGCGTGCGCAGTGATGCGGTCGCTGTATCGGACCGTTGTGGTAAAGAGGGAGCTGAGCCGAAAGGCAAAGCTCTCGATTTACCGGTCAATCTTCGTTCCCTCCCTCACCTATGGTCATGAGCTCTGGGTAATGACCGAAAGAACGAGATCGCGGATACAAGCGGTCGAAATTAGCTTCCTCCGCAGAGTGGCTGGGCGCTCCCTTAGAGATAGGGTGAGGAGCTCAGTCACACGGGAGGAGCTCGGAGTAGAGCCGCTGCTTCTCCACGTCGAGAGGAACCAGTTGAGGTGGCTCGGGCATCTGTTCAGGATGCCTCCTGGACGCCTTCCTGGGGAGGTGTTCCGGGCACGTCCCACCGGGAGGAGGCCCCGGGGAAGACCCAGGACACGCTGGAGAGACTATGTCTCTCAGCTGGCCTGGGAACGCCTAGGGGTCCCCCCGGACGAGCTGGAGGAAGTGTGTGTGGATAGGGAAGTCTGGGCGTCTCTGCTTAGACTGCTGCCCCCGCGACCCGGCAACGGATAAAGCGGAAGAAAATGGATGGATGGATGGAGGTTTTCCCCCCGAGTGCTGCACAGACAAAGGCGCTGTCCGTGGTCCTGATCCCGGTCTCCAGGCTCGTGTGCACAGAAGAACAGAGGGTTTGTGTATGACCTGTGAATGACCTCTTAAATGTCTCCCATGTGTTTACAGATCTACAAACCGCACATTTCTACTTCCTGGTGGATCATCAAGACTATTGCTCCTCCCACTTGTCAATCATTCTGGTGCTCGTCCAATAAGATCAGAGAGAGTTGTTCAAACAGTGGAGAGGGCGGGTCTTTATGAACGTTTGGGGAAATCCTCCTTTATACCTCAATTTAAAGGTATAATTTATACCTTTAAAAGTCTGGTGGCTATTAATCTCGCCTTTCAGCAAGAAGGTCCTGGGTTCAAATCCCGGTCAGAGCCAGAGCACCCGGAGGAAACCTGAGTAGACACGGGGAGAACATGCAAACTCCAGTCAGAAATGCCCTGGTCTTAGCGGGATTAGGAGCGAGACAGAAATGATCTTGTCTCATGTACCGAAGCGACTGTGGCTCAGAGCATTGGCCTTTGAGCCTGAAGGATGTGGGTTCGAGTCCACAACGAGACCTTCTCAATCGACGCCCACTGATGTCTGCTGTCGTTGTGTCCTTGGGCAAGACACTGAACTTCACAGAATCAAAACCAGGAGCGTCTCTTACTCTGCTTCACTGCTGCCTCGTTCTCCTCGACCTCACTTTTCATTTACGAGCGTCCGGTGTGTGCCGCAGTGTCTGGCTCGCATCCTTCTCTCGGTGCAACTTTTGATTAGAGAAGAGCTGCCCCCCCCCCTCTCCATCCGTCTCCCCCCCACCCTTCTGCTGCTCGGCCAATTCGCTAATGGATGCGGCAACCTCGTGATTTATCGTTGGCGGAGATATGCTCAAAGTAAAAGGTACTAAATGATTTAAGTTAGCGGCGCGGCTATCCGAGCGCTGGCCACGTGGAGAATGCTAACCTGATTACAGGCGGCATCTCTTTAGAGCGGCTGAATCATTGTTCCAGGCGCTCTCTCCGCGTTGCTGCGGCGCCACGGAGCCTCTGCGCTCGCTGCAAATGGAAATGAAGTGAGCGGCGAGACAGGATTTACGGTTACAGAGAGCGGAGAGGAGGCGCGCGGGACTTTGCTCTTAAATCTGCCTGAGAGGTGACGGTGGCGGCCTGGGATCCAGAGAGTGTGGTCTCAGTCACGAGGAGAGGAACCAGGAGTCTCTACAGAGGCCAGAGAGCTTCCAGAATGTAGCTCCGGGTTTTTACCTTGTGTCTATTGTTAAAAGAAAAGATCAGATAAACTTTATTGATGTCACATTTGTATAGAGAGAATCAGCCAGAGTTAACAACATGTTCAAGAGGTTAAAATATAGTCTCAAGATACACTTTATTCTAAATGGATTTCCAAAAGCCTAAACGGAGAAAGGACAGATCGAAGTCGCGTTTTCCTCTGTGCAGCAGCAGCAGGTGGGGATCAGCTGCTTCCTCTGGTTGATGTTTGCAAAGCCACAGCCTGTCCGACCTCTGTAGCTAAGCAGTGCAGGGCCTGGTTTGTGCTGTGATGGGAGACCTCTGGGAACACCAGGTGCCACAGTGGGGTGGAGTGCCAAACTGTCAGAAATATCGGACTAAAACCTGAACAGTCTAATCAAAGCAGAAACATAAGCAGCTTTTTACCATCAACACAGAATCAAAAATAAACTGTGGAAATCAGACCATGAAGATTCTTATCCTGCGTTTGTCTCCGGTGTTAGACTGAAGTACATCACATCAGTCCTGCTCTCAGGTCTCTGCACCGGTGGCTCGGAATAGACTTTAAAACACCTCTGTTTGTTCCAAGTCTCTCCATCTCTACCTCTGTTAGTGCTATAGGAACCAACTCTGAAGAGCACAGGGACTGGCCTCCTGCTGGGACTCTGAGGAGCATAGGGACTGGTCTCCTGCTGGGACTCTGAGGAGCACAGGGACTGGCCTCTTGCTTGGACTCTGAGGAGCACAGGGACTGGCCTCTTGCTTGGACTCTGAGGAGCACAGGGACTGGCCTCCTGCTGGGACTCTGAGGAGCACAGGGACTGGTCTCCTGCTGGGACTCTTAGGAGCACAGGGACTGGCCTCCTGCTGGGACTCTGAGGAGCATAGGGACTGGTCTCCTGCTGGGACTCTGAGGAGCACAGGGACTGGCCTCTTGCTTGGACTCTGAGGAGCACAGGGACTGGCCTCTTGCTTGGACTCTGAGGAGCATAGGGACTGGTCTCCTGCTGGGACTCTGAGGAGCACTGGGACTCTGAGGAGCACAGGCACTGGTCTTGTATGATAATAATGTATTGTCTTTCCTCTGAGTTGCCTGTATGAACTGTGCTATGAATAATTACACACAAAAACAAAAGCCCTGTGATGTGTGATGTGCAGTTTGAGAATCTATATAAATAAATCCCAAATGCTTCTTCTTTGTGGACAGTGAAAAAAGAAAGATGACGACTGTCGAATAGAATGAGTGGAAAATAAAACACAAACAAAAGCTCAACAATTATAACAATTACTCACTTTTAAAGTCTGAGCTTCTGTTGTGACTTTACTCACTTTTAATTGGACTTTAAGGACCACAAAAACAAAACATTTCCAACATTTTCAAAGCTAATGACGACCCGCAGCGTCAGACTCGGCTCTGGGCGGTAATTGGAGCCGGAGAGAAGGCTCAAGCTGTCGATCTCTAGAGCAGCGTCTGAGGACCAGGAGACGTCTGTACCAGGGACTGATGTCTGGAACAGTCTTATAATGAGAGGTCAAGGTCAAGGTCAAGGTCAAATTTATTTATAAAGCACATTTACAAAACAGCCATCACTGCCCCAAAGTGCTGTACACAGTACAATAATACAACACTACAAAAACACAACAATATAACACGATAAGAAAGTAAAAATGTAAACTGTAAAAATATGAAAAAATGCTCAGCTCATCTTGTGTTAAAAGCCTGCGTAAAAAGGTAAGTCTTTACCAGAGTTTTGAAGCTCTCAACTGATGTAGCCTGTCTAATGTTCACAGGGAGGGAGTTCCACAGTTTAGGGCCTGCTACCGCAAAAGCTCTATCTCCTTTAGTTTTTAAATGAGATCTTGGACGATCCAGCAAACTTTGGCCCGAGGATCGCAGAGCTCTGACAGGGGCGTGCAAAGACAACAAATCAGATAAATAAGGCGGTGCCAGTCCGCGGATGGATTTAAAAACAAGTAATAGAATTTTAAAGTCTATTCTAAAAGCAACAGGTAACCAGTGAAGAGACGACAGAACAGGAGTAATATGTTTATGCCGTTTGGTTCCTGTGAGCAGGCGTGCAGCCGCGTTTTGGACCATTTGGAGTCTGCGAATTGATGACTGCTTTAGACCAAAATACAAAGAGTTACAATAATCCAAACGAGTTGTGATCAATGCATGGACAACCTGTTCAAATTGGTTTAAAGGTAAGTAGCGCTTCACCTTACTTAGAAGCCTAAGTTGGAAAAAACTAGTTTTGACTACTGCATTGATCTGTTTTTCAAACTGGAATGAAATGTCAATATGAAATCCAAGACTTTTGGCGGATAAACAGCAGTGGGACGCAAGTGGACCAAGAGCACTGCTGGTAAGGTTAGCCTCACCAAAAAACACGATTTCAGTCTTTTTCTCATTCAAATTGAGAAAATTCAGTGACATCCAGTCTTTGACCTCTTTAAGACATGTCAATAAGGTGGCAGATGAGTTAGATTTGAGGTCCAAAGGCAAATAGATCTGTACATCATCTGCAAAGCAATGAAACTGAATGTTGTATTTCCTAAAAATTGAGCCCAATGGCAGCATGTACAATGAAAATAGAATTGGCCCTAAAATTGAGCCTTGGGGTACCCCGCAGGTTAGGGGGGCTTTCTGCGAGGTAAAAGAACCAAGGTTTACAGAAAAACACCTATCATTCAGATATGACTTAAACCACTGCACTGTGCCACTCATCCCAACACATGATTCAAGACGGGATATTAAAA